TTCATTCATTCATTCATTCATTCATTCATTCATTCATTTTACCCAAAAAACCGAAAGTATGCCTCAGCTGGACCTAACAGGGCAAGGTGAGCGTGCTCTGGAATCTCCCAACTCAGCTCAGCACTTGAGTAGGTGTTGGCTCCCTCTTGATTTTCTGCCACCTCTTGCTTTCCTGCCCATTCTTCAAAGACTTGTGTGTCTGTGCCCTGCATGGGAACTAGCCCTGTCCTGACTACTTGTTCCTTGGTCTCTGTTTCCTGGGTTGGGGCTGAATTTGCAAAACCATCTAGGGCAGGGTCTGAAGGGGAAAGGCCCTTACCTTGGGGTTTGGGCCTGTTCCCTATTCCCCTTATCCCTTCATTTGATTCTTTCTCAAGAAACACATATTATAGCTTCTTGATTCAGGCCCAGGGCTGGGCCTCAGGTGGGAGGCAGAGTAAGACTCAGCCCCTACCTGCAGGGAGCCAGGATGCCATGGGGGAGATGGAGAGGTCACAGGGGGCTGTGGCCCCATCCAGATCCAGAGATAGACCCGCTCCTGTCCTCTCAGGATGGATATCAGTGTAGGGAGCGATTCCAGGGTCTGCATTCTTAGCTCTAGACACGCAGCCTAGACACTTAGGGAAGCATAGTTCGGGAAACCAAAACCGGGTCAGTCCATCTTCTAAGCTCCTCCTTCTACATGACCCTCTTTTCTCCTTCTTGGCTCCACCCAGGGCTGCGCTCAGAAGGTGCTCAGAATAGATGGACTCCCTTCTGCCAGGCCAGAGCCAGGGCAGGCAGGTGACCCCAGCCTGGGAGCGGAGACCGGCCCTATGCCCGGACCGGGCATAAGCTCACAGCACCCACAGTTACTAATGGAACCGCTCACTTTCCGCTGGCTTAAGGCATCCTCAGCCTGAACCTTTCACTCCTGACACTGTACAACCATCCTCTCCCCCTCCCTCCCTACTGCCCATGCAGCCTGGGGCATTCAGGGGACTTCTGCCAGGCAGAAGCAAGACTAGAGGCTGTGGGGTGCCGAGTGGTGCAGTGTGCAGAGAATTTTCTTCCCGTGGCAAGTGAGTGGCACGCGGGCCTATAGCGGTCCCCTGGATGGGCCCGTGCGCCCTACTGTGGTCCAGGCTGTTTTGCACCTTCAGCAGGAGACAAGACTGGGTTCATTGTGAGAACCCCGCGGTGTGCGACGGCTCGGGCGTGGGCTCGGCGCTCGTGGCTGTGTGCGCCGTCAGGGAGCGCGCGCGTGTGCCGGGAGGTGGCGGCGCGTCCCGCGTAGGTGTGAGGCGCGCTCTGCGCGGGGACCGAGCAGCATAGCTG